TTATCGGTGGAGAATGGCAGTGTATTGTAAGAACCTTACTACTTAATAATGGAGTAGACTTTCAAGGAATTTTAAAAAACGTCAAGTTTACGCTAAGTAGGTTAAGTATGTTTAACTGAAATCGTGATTCAAAAACAGATCCAGTCGGGTACTCTGGTTCCCTCGAAATTTTTCTTCTGTATTTCGTATAGCATAGTCACGGTAACATGTCTCATACTGCAAATTTCACTAACCAGACAGTAATGTACAAAGCCAATGAGTCGTGCACTATCTCATTTGGGGTTGAAAGTATTACCAATATAACAGCAGTAGTATTAGTAATGTTGTGAAACTTGACCCAACTGTGTTCCTCATCTAAATGTGTCAATCCGCCATTTCGACACGAGTTGATTTTTCATAAAATTGGCTTAGTGATTTCAAAGTTGCTATCATATTAAATAAAATAGTTTGAAATACAAGCATGCCATTCTTTGCAAACATTGTGTGTGGGGGGGGGGTACATTCGGAGTCAATACAAAGCTACTTACTGAGATTGTGCCAGATTGGCTACCCAATACTGTTACCTAACAGTCGGACCCCGTGGTGACCCACCGGGTTGTATTTATAACGTGGACCCTATATTTACATGAATAACAACTCAACTTCCGGATCGGCTCTGTATATCACTGTCGGAGAGCAGAATTCACCAACAGAGAGCTGGGTTTAGAAACATGTTTCTCTTCATGTCTTTATTATTAATTGGAAAATGTACTCACACTTGTATGTAATCAAGTTTTGTGATTTAAACTCTACCGTCGTCACACAACGTCGTGTTAGACGTGGGACCCGTGCTACGTAAACAGCACGCGTAATATACATTGTTTTGTTTAAGAGAAATTGCTATGTGATTTTTAAATAAACTTAATTCAAATCAACTCCACAGTTTTGTATGTGTCATTAATAATGTAGAGCCAGGCGACATTTATGGACACTAAGTAAAATTGTCTTCCAGGACTTTGTTTTTGTTTTTGCAAAAGCAGTATGAATCTACTTATCGTGGCATCCCCATCGTAGTCGCATTTTTTAGGCAAAAACTCTATCTATATGTTCGTGATTCAAAAACAGATCCAGTCGGGTACTCTGGTTCCCTCGAAATTTTTCTTCTGTCTTTCGTATAGCATAGTCACGGTAATATTTTTTTCATTTTCAACAAATCTTGGGGTAAAAAAGTCGTCTTGCCCTCCATTTTACGTAAAGAACTACATACGCTGTAGACGGGGATTATATTAGGACCCAGGGAAAATAACATGTGCTTTTAACACTACAGTTAGCGTTTGCCGCCCGATTGTGACGTTCTGTACATGGTTTCGTCACGTACTGCGATTGAACTAACATCACAGAGTTGATACTCGACATGGAAAGGTCATCTTTGCGCTGTCAGTTACACAGAAATAACACACATAAAGTCAGCTATATTGATACAACAGTGATAAATTACATTATTATTGTATTAGCAAATTGAACGACTGTGATTAGATTTTGTGATGCAGATAGACCTACCTGCCCACACATCGCCAGTCAATACTATCGGCGTCAACACCACGCAACGAACGTCGCTGTCTACTGAGGCCGGCAGAGACAACGATTAAAGCGATATACATTCTTGTATGACCGGTATTTAAACACAAGTCCCTATCTCGCCGTACGTAGCTACGCTTACAAATCACCTCTTACTGATGGAGTACAACTAAACGGTGAGTACGAACATTTAAGCGTTGATGTTCTTAATCAGATCGGGGGCCGGGACGTGTTCTGCACAATTATACGTGTGACCCATGGGAGAAATACTAGTATTACGTATTCAGGGGGACTCTCCATGATGTATGTACTACTAAGCATGATGCCGCAAAGTTGCCATGCAGTTTATGATATTGTTTTTATTCTCTGTACTGCTGAATGTTACGCTTTCTGATCAAAGTATTACGTCCGGTCGTGATATACGCAATAAATATCCTCATGAAAACGATACTTAATTTTTTGACAAATCCCCTGGTGGTTAGTAGGGATTAACTAACTTTGTTGGTTTTTCGTTTTCAACTCAACATCGCGCGCAATGGAGCGGCACCCGTATGTCATTACGCAACACAGGCGTTGTAAGTAGGTGTCCTCTGTCAACTGACGCTCTGCCGTGCAACTTCTAGTCGTTGACAAACAGGCCGCATTTGAAGTTGACGTTACTTTAACGCGCGGCAAAAAATAGATAGAGCCATGCGAAATTCAGAGCCGCCAATAGAGACGTCAGATATGCACATCTGATGTACTGTGGGGCTCTGGAAACTGTTGGGATTATTGTGTATGGAACTATAACACTGTGGCCATTGTTACTAATGGTCCG